TAGAATTTTGTAGAATTATGTAGAATTTGTCCGAAAAGGCAATAAAAAAATACAAAAATTGACAAAAGTGTTCCAATTCTAGCATTTTTATGTAGATTTTTGTAGCATTTTTTAAAGTCGTGTAAAATTTCATAGATTTTCACAGTTATTTTTTGTAGTTTTCCGTAGAATATTTTTATTTTTTCTAGAATTTTTTTCTGCCAGGGTGAAAATAAAGAAATATTGCAGTTAACCTAACCTAACATAAAAAAAGGTTATCATTAGTTATTTAACCAAAAAACTACAAAACTACAAAATTTACAAATACAAAACTGGATCATTACGACAGATTTTATAAAAATCTTTTTTACTTTCACGGCAATTAAACAAGATTATTCTTCAGTTGTTTCAAATGATTAAATTATTTACTTTCTTCTCACTATAAGAAGCTGTCTACAATACGTCGTACAATTCTTACGACTTACGGTTTATGACCAGACCATAGACTTATAAGATAGACTGCGCGCCCTATTGTTCTCGGTGAGGCAGAAGCTAGAGTGAGAGGGCTACATTCCACACTTCTTTTGTCCTTGTCCGGCACGGCTGACGGCGGCCGGCGCGGCGCGGGTCTCCCCTCTTTTCTTCTCCCAACGATTGAACAAGGACAAGAGAAGTGTGGAGTGTAGCCCTCTCACTCTAGCTTCTGCCTCACCGAGAACAATAGGGCGCGCAGTCTATCTTATAAGTCTATGGACCAGACATACGACGTATTGTAGAAGGGACCTTAGGGGCTGTCTACAATACGTCGTATGTCAGATCGTAAGCCGTAAATCGTAAGAATTGACCAATCACAATTGAATGTAAGAAAAATATTTGACTACGATTGATCAATTCTTAGTTAGTATGATATGAATAGTGACTAACGGCTTATTGTAGAAAGCCCCTTAATTCTACTGCTACGCCATACGTCAAACCTTGTGCGTTGCATACGTCTACGGGGCTTTCTACAATAAGCCGTCAGTCACTACTCGTATCATACTAACTAAGAATTGATCAATCATAGTCGAATCTTTTTCTTACATTCAACTGTGATTGGTCAATTCTTACGATTTCCCAGTGAGAAACAATTTGTCGACCCGACGTCGATTCGACGTCGAAAGGTGGGTTCGAAATGAGATCGAAATTGACATCGACATCGATGTCTTTTTGACTCCCATGTCGACCTCCTGTCGATTCAAACTGCGAAATCGATTTGACATTGATCATAAATCAAAATCCTGCCCAAGGAGAACAGAAAGATCAAAATGACATAAAAATAAGATCAAATTTAGTTTGTCAAAATGATGTCAAATTGCATAAATTTTTGATGCATTCTTGATCATTCCCTGAAT